TATAAAAACGATCACATATGCAACCTGTTTCTAGTACGTTCTTTTATGGTGGATGTTTTCTAACGTAAAATTAGTATTAAAGTTTTTGTCTTTGTAACTATGTACATAGAATCGGAGTAGAAAGTTTATTTTTTAATACTTTCAAAGAAATTCCACTTAGTTTTCTAACTTTTAAAAGATCAACCTATTGAACTCTAGATAAACAGTCGTAATAATGGCTTTATGCATTTATTCTAAAGAAGAGCTTCAGAAATAAAATCTGGATATAGTAACGTAGTCAAGGGAATACTTACACTCTCACTCTGAAAAGGATTTAAGAAATTTCCCCCCATTTCGCCATCATCCCTAGGAGTGCCCGGCTGATTACTCAGGCTCATATTATTGGGAGAATTCTGTAAACAAGATTTAGAAAACAAAGCATTTTGAAGATTTTAATTTCCCTTTTACATGGTACTGTTTCAAACATGGAATCTATACCATCATCTCTAAGGACAAAGGAGACTTATAATTCCAATCTCAGATTTCTACCATGGATTCTGTTCATTCTTTGCACCTTGACAAGTACTAATGCTTTCCCAAATGAAAATTAAAAAACAGAAAACCCAAAATAATTCACTGTAACTCTTTGTCTTAGTCTCAGAATCATTTATTCCATTTCCCACTCTCAGTTCATAGAGTTCCTAGACTTCTGGAGAGTTTAAGAAACATTCCCAGGAGGGGCATGATGAAGTGTGCATTCTACCCACTGATCAGGTGGGATGGAACAATAACTTCCCTGGGTGATTTTACTAATCAAACTCGAAAGGTCACTGTTTTGATAAATACTTCCCTTTAATTCTACATGTGGTTTACATAGTAACACGACTTTAAACCATTATTTTTATATGAACCATAAGGAAAAAAGGAAAATGGTTAACGATAGTTAAGAACAAGAGAAATAAATACCTCAGGACTTGAGAATTCAGTATGTACTTGTACAGGAAAAGGAGGCTCAGAGGTGGAATGATTTAGAACCCTTTCCTATCATTTGTTTGAGCAGATTTATTTGAAACTTTTAAGATAAAATGGCTGATATTAGCAATCTAATCAAACACAAAGTTAACAGTATACTGCTTTATATTCTATTTAAGTTCGCTAGTCTTGTTTTTGCTGTGCGATTTTAGCCACGTGAGGTCATCTGATACTCCATGTCAATAGGGAATACAGAATGGCAGCGGCGTATAAAGCATGCTCACACAGGATTGCAACTGTGACTAAGGGATTCTTGTAAAAATAAACTTCAAGGTTAAAAACTTTTACTTGTTATTTCAAACGTAAGCCAGGTTTTAGAGTTTTTTCCTGAGCTGTTGCCATTTTATATTTTGTTTTTGAATAAGTTTTTAGATTTTTTTTACACAAAATTGCTCTGAGGATTTTGACTTAACTAAAACCAAGTTAGGCAATAAAAACGAAAATGTCATGAATGGGTTATCCCCAGAAGAATATGTGCTTTTTAAAAATATGGTTAAACTGTAAAGCAGAGACAGGTAGATGAGCTGGTAGAAATAGAGCTTGTATCTTGTCCTGCTGTGCACCTCACAGGGAGGATCTGAGAACAGGGATCCTCTGAAGTCCGTAGGAGCTCCATTTGCCAGTGAACCCCAAGGGCTGGGGAACCACAGCTTAATGGGATAAAGAGGATTCTATTTTTTTTTTTTTGGAAAAATTTTTTTTCTCTGGAAATGTTAGTTTCCCAAGTAACTGGACTTTGAAATGAACATGGATAACCTGATTTCCTGAAAAAAAAATTAAGTAAAATTGAAATGCAATTAACTAAGCTATAGGTAACTAAGCTACAACTCATGAATAAAGTTATTAATCAACTGTGTCTTGAAAGCAGGAATGATAATGCTTACTTAGCTCAAAAAAGGGCAAATTTATAAAAACACTATAAGATTTACCCCAAATCTATAAGTCTTTGGTGAAGGCAGATTTGTCATTTCATACATAATGGAGAAACTGGCAATCTTGGAATAAAAAATAATCTAACATACCTATACAGGGGTATTTGAGCATGTATTTAGAAGCTGCATACTTTTACATATTCAAACAGATATATGAAATGAGCCCTGTCCATCCTTGCATAATATTCACACTCCTAGCCTTAAGTACGTGAGGTGCCCTGAGAGGAGCAGCATATCTCTGACTAAACTGGGGTGCTCCCAGACTCTGCTGCACTTTTGCCATGTATCATTGCTTTTTAAATTTTTTAAAAAAAGTTTTATTGGAGTATAGTTGATTTACAGTGTTGTGTTAGTTTCAGGTGTATAGCAAAGTGTATCAGTTATACATGTACATATATCTACTCTTTTTTAGATTCTTTTCCCATATGGGCCATTATAGAGTATTGAGTAGAGTTCCCTGTGTGATACAGTAGGTCCTTATTAGTTGTCTTTTTTATATATAGTAGTGTGTATATGTCAATCCCAATCTCCCAATTTATCCCCTGCTCCTTACCACAGGTAACTATAAGTTTGTTTTCCACATCTGTAACTCTGTTTTGTAGATAAGTTCATTTGTATCCTTTTATTAAACTCCACATCGAAGTGATATCATTTCTTGATTTGCAATTCTGAAAGTTTGGCTACCTTCAAATTGATTCCTGACTCAAAGTGTCGATTTAAAAATATCTGAAGTTGGGCTTCCCTGGTGGTGCAGTGGTTGAGAGTCCGCCTGCCGAGGCAGGGGACACGGGTTCATGCCCCGGTCCGGGAAGATCCCACGTGCCGCGGAGCAGCTGGGCCCGTGAGCCATGGCTGCTGAGCCTGCGCGTCCGGAGCCTGTGCTCCGCAACGGGAGAGGCCACAACAGTGAGAGGCCCTCATACCGCAAAAAAAAAAAAAAAAAAAATCTGAAGTTTAAAAGTAACATTACAGTAATATTTAAATACATATAAAACACTTCATGGTGTTTCTGTTTTCCGTGCTATCTTTTCATAGCATGGTGGCTCAGCATTAAACATTTGTAGGGGGCAGTGGTGGTGGTGTATATGAGAACATTGAGAGGCAGATTAAAAGGACACATTCAACACACAAAACTGAGCTAGTATCAGATTTCTGAAACCTCTTCCTATCTAGCTCACTGGGTATATTTGAAAATCATGAAATGATAGAACATCTTTAAAAAATCTGAGGTAATCTCTGCAAAATGTTGTGAAAACAACAAAAGTTGCTCAATGAGGAGTCTTAAGGAAATTGTGCTGTCCATGGTCCCTGGGTGACATGATGAAGATATAGCTAAAGATATACTCAGTATTGGTATCTGAGGAAGAGCTAAGACAATGGTTCCAAGCACCAACCCAGAGCAGGTTATGACGGTGGGTGGCAATGAACTGTGTGTATGCTGCATTTAACTGTAGCTATGTTTGTGTGCAGTGTCTCCAGTAGATTTCATCAACAAGGCAAGAATATAATGCACAAAAAGGGCGTAGGTTGGTCAAACAACTTCTTAAAATGGAGTAAGAAATTTAAAAAATGTAATACTGATGCTTGACAAAATACAGGTTTAACTGGAGAATTAGGAAGATGCAGCTAGAGACCCAAGAGCAAGTTTGAACACAATTGCTAAGCAGAAGTGGTTAAGATCATCCGTCTTTACGAAGACGGCCTTAAGCAATCTGGATGTTCTCGCCTTTGTGTAATGAAGAATTATCTTTAGACATTAGAATATGTTTCTCAAATATAACTTCAGACATTTTACTGTGACCACAAAGCACAATTCAGCCAACATCAATTGTTAGATACCTAAGACAGCCAATACAATCATGGTTATCTGGTTTGTAAAGGTGCTTCCCAGAAAGAAGGCTCTAATGGTATTATACAATTAATCTTATTTTGAAAACAAGGTTTTTGAAGGCTTACCTAATACTATTTCTCACAGAGGTAAGATGGTGCCGTTTGTATATATCTATTTTTAGAAAAGAAAAAGATCTTCCTGATTGTTTCTAAACACAGACATCCAAAGTGCATGATGAAGTTCCTAGGCCAAGCAGCCAAGCGATGCAGATACAATGTCACAATGCCAATTAAACACTCTCTCTTTTTTTTTTTTTAGCTTGAAGTCTTAATTTATAAGTTTCTATAGCTCAACTTCATTTTATTTTTCTTGGCATCAGTAATTTTACTTTATTATACATGAATATAAATTTAAAGTAGAATTAAAAATGAAGTCATCCTTTAATGAATTTCTGTATTTATTGATATATAGAAGACTTCTGAGAGAGTCATTCTAGTGGTAGTTAATAATTAGTTCTTATCAGCCATTCTAAATATACATTTGACCCACAGAGAAGTATTTTAAAATTCATCATGACCTAAAAAGTATTTAGGTATTCTTCAAAAAATATACAGCATCTTACCAAAGGATTAATTTTAGAAACTCAGACGACTGACAGAGGAAAAACAGAGACATGTGCTATTGGAAGGGTCACTTTCCTACTTCTATTAATATAATTTTCCTCTAATTACTTTATTACTCTATTCTGTGGAACTATAATAATGATTGAGGACATCAGCATTGCCTGATAAGAGTTTGGAATACAAATGAGATGTATAAATGCAATGCCCTTACAACATATAATAACCACTTTTTCAAATTTACCTCTTTTCGTGTTGCTCTAGATTTCTTTACATTTTCAAAAGATTAAAGTATGTCAGTTTGCTTTACAAATGCGTAACATCATAATGTGATTAAACTGATTATTATTTGCTTGGATATCAATTAATCATGTATATCACATCCTGTAAATGAATCCTAGCATGCTTTGAAATATTCTTAAAAGACTAATTTTACCCTTTCCCACAGATTATATGCATTAATATTTTAAACTTCTACTTAATTATATTTGGCCTTCTACTTTCAAACTCTTTAAGAACAAAATTCATAATGTTATTCTCAAACTTAATAAGAGTTCTGTGTAGAATAAAACACAGATAAAAAACAACACAATACATAATACTCACCTTGGAAATACTGTCCATATCTCCTGAGCCTAAAACAAAATATGGAAAGAAAGCCTTTATTAGGTAATGATTCTATCTGTAAATTAAATACTCCTTTAAAATAAACTAATGTAGTAATGCAGTACACTGTATGTATTTTGCAGTGTATATCTCCTGGACTTTTGAATCTCAAAAAATTACTTTTCTCTTATACTGTGTGGTAAGTAAGTATCATCTGATGACAAATCCAAGTAAGAGTTGTACCTTTCCTTCCCAATCATCTACTTTTTTTGGTAATGCCAGAATAAAAACTATTGCTATCATAAATTCCTGAAAGTGAAACAGTAGACATACATATCCTACTCAATTCAAAATTTTAAAACGTGTACACTAATACACATGTGTATATATATATTTATAGATATGTAAATAGAGAGCAAAAGAGAGAGAGAGAGATCTCTATTTTCTGAAATGATGCTTCTGTACATCTGATAAAGTACAAAACAGGCATTTGCAGCAATACCTGACAAGATTCTGAACCATGTTTTACTATAATAACCAAAATCAAAGCATAATATTTTTAAGAAAATTTTGGCAGCAACAAATATTCATGGCAGTCCATCAAAAGTAAAAATGTCTTCAAAATGTAACACTGTGGGTTTATTTTAATTCTTAGGAGAAATGGACAATCAATACTAATTTCTTACTTAAGAAATGGAATCATAACTTAGGTAACAAAGAAAAATAATCAGATCCTCGCCACAATTTTAGCTTTATTTTTAACTATTTAAATAATTTTCCTGGCATAAAAATATTATAATATTTTAATAGTACAGCATTCAACAGACAGTCACAAATAAAGTAAAGGCTTATTAGCATTAGTTTATAAATAGGCATAATGTTAAATACTGAATGTATATATGCAATTATGTATCTATAAATATATGCAACAATATTCATTATAGATGACAAGTATATGTGAAACTATTTTGCAAATTCTGTTCTAGTGAGTAATATAACTAAGAATCTTCTCACTATGACCAAATGCCATCTTTTTGTGAATGATTTTACAAATTAAAATATTGGAAAAGTAAATTATTTTGCAATAAATTAGAAAGTGAAATTCTAGAATGGTGCTATCCCCAGTAGAACTTTGTGTGATGCTGGAAATGTTTCCTTGTGCTGTCTGTTACAATAGCCATTAGCTCATGTGACTATATGCACTTGATATGTGGCAGTGCAACTGAAGAAGTGAATTTTACATTTAATTTGATTTAGAATTAAGTAGTCACACATGACTAGTAACTACCATAACTGGACAGTGCAAATTAACATTTTGAAAACGAGGCAAAACAAGCATGGATCCTTAAAAGCACAGAAGTCTATTAAAAAAAAAGTCTATCAAAGTGTTGTAAATAATTTCTTGATTATTGAAGTTACATAGCTTTTCGAAGTATCAGAGGATGGCATTTCCTGACCTAGGGTGGGGTTGTGAAATCCGTGTATAACCTGAGTTACTCATGGCATAGTTTCTCCAACTTAAGTAAAAGATGGTTCTTTTTCAAAGAAAAAAATTATCACAAACCTCCAACCCCACTGTCAACTTTTAAAATAGTTTATGATATATGATGATGATAAACATACAAACATAAAATAAATGTCTTTTTTCCCTTGTTTTGGTTTTGCCTTTGGCCTGCCTACATATACAGTATGCTGTGTGACCAGGTCAATTTTGTACCACTTGTCTCTGTTTCTCACTGTTGTGAAACTTTTTGTTCACCTTGCAGATATGTGGCTTCATTTGGTAAGAAGACATCATTTATGAAGTATGTTTACAACCATTATTTGCACTACTTGAAATCAGCTTTATCACAAACACAGACAATGTGGGCAGTGTTCTCTCTTAAGAGAATCATTCAGATTATCCAGAATATGATTACCAATTTTACTTTTTAAAAAGAGACAAACATTAAAATGCAAAAACAAAATCAAGAAATTCTTGGAGAGGACTGAAGTTCCTCTGAGACTGTGTCTACAGACCTCTGGAGACAAAGGAACCCACTGTGAGGATACCATGGTCCTCTAGGTGCCCAAAGCAGCAGTGTCTCCTTTCATCATAAACACTCAGATTTTGATAAGTTAAAGTAAATACCTGTGAATATGAGCTAGGTTAGAACAATTCTCACGTATCTGATTTTCCAAATAATCTCTAGCCATCATAGCGACTATCCTATGGATTAAACTATCAGTTGTAGATAAAAGCTGAAGCATTTCAAAATGAGTTCCTATAAAAAGAACTTCGCAAATCATGATATTCACTATGTAGAATTAAGGTTTTGTTTTGAATTCATTTCTGAACATCAGATTTAATATCCTTACCTAAAGAGCCATTCATGTGATGTGACTCCATTCCTCCTAATCCACCCATGGGACCATCTGACCCAGGGCCCATTGGAAACTATTTAAAAAATGGAGAAAATGACTGTGATCACATTGAAAACAATTGTTCATCTCAATGTCACAATACCTATCTTTAACTCTGTAAGACACTTCTATAACTTATTTTCATTTCCAAATTATGGAGATTATTTTCCTAGATTTTTTTCCAGCTTTCTAGATTCTCTAACTGGACTGCTACTTCCCTCATTCCATCTTCTCTATGTTCTAGATCTTCAGGCTAATCCTCATTCATATCCAAATTTTTCTTCAGACATCCTTAACCAGAAAGCACATATATTCCAGTGCAAATGAGAAGATAAGTATTCTATGCTATTGACAAATTCTGCTATTATAAACCAGAGGTAATTCTTAAGAAGCTGCTAAAGGTATTGGCTTATTAATAAGAATAACTGAACATTATATGCCAACATTAACATTTTTCTTAGCAGACAATCTATCTTTGTTCAAATGGACATGATAAATAATTTCATCTTGCAGGTTAAATACATTTAGCTCCTTGGGGATAACTGAATATAGCTAAGTCTTCTTGGCAGTCTCAACTATGTCAGTTCAGTCACAATTAGGCATTCAATAGCAGTTATATTTAACATTTTTTAAAGTAGTGATGTTTCATTTTCAAATGAAACCTTACATTAGAAGCGTAGTACAACACAGATGTAAAGAGATGTGCTGTGGTAGAGTTGGTGGTGGAGAGCCCATGACCTGCCCGCTTAGTCTCTCCCTCAACTCCCCAGAATACTTCTAAGGAAACTCAGACCTTAGTTTGAAGACAGGCTATCTATAATTACCTTATGTTTACAGTTAAGATAGATTACTGAAAACACTTGTTCTTAAAACTTCCCATGCCGAAATCATTTCTTCCATGTTGTATGGTGCAGAATACTAAATGTGTTGCGTGTATGTATGTGTATAGATGGGACTGTGGTGGTTACTAATCATGTAGGCTTCGGGGGAAGATTGCCCTGAGTGGATACCCTGTATACCACTGACTCTGTGTGGAAAGAAGATAGCTTTCCTTCACCGTGCTCACACAAACCACATGCTTATACATTTTCACAGGATAATGCCAATTCTGTTGTCTAAAATTTTGTTGCTTAAAACGCATGGATGGATTGTGTATTTTAGATCTGGGCTGAGAAACTGGTGCCGGTGAGGCCAACAGCCTGTGAACCTCCTTGGCTTGGTCCTTTTATCCGGCCCCCACTGCGCTTTAAACAACACTAAGACTGTAGGTATTATACTTGAAGCACATAATACTGCAGTCCTAGCCCTCAGCAGGCATTTGCTTTGACTACCTCTGGCTGAAATGAATGACATTTGGAAGAGTGACATATTCAGCTTCTGCTTCTCTTGAATCTCTTATCTTTGTAACAAGTAAGAGAACCAGAATGGAACACACTTGGATGATATCAGTTTAGCTGTCTGCAGAAATGTCTTCAGTACCATATGCTCTTGGTTTCCTCCCTTATTCCCTCCCTTTCAAATATCAAGTTTTAAGATCTGAAATTGCAGTATGAAGAGCTTTTCCACATTTGTGCTGCATTTCTGAAATGAACATTGTTCATGATCATATTCAGTGTTCTTTAAAATCTCTGTGAAAACACCTTTTAGACATTACTGACAGAAAATTCTTTTTCCTGAAAAAGAATTTATTTGATTATACAAAGGGAATACTGGTAACTGAAGGCAGTGCTGCTTAACAGAAATAATATGTAAGGTTCAAATGTGAACTACGTAAATAAATTTAGATTTATTAGCAGCCATGTTTAAAAAGTAAAATGAAACAGGTGGTTAATTTTAATAACTTTACTTACTTATATAATCAAAATTATCAATCAAAATAGTCAGTATAAAATTTTAGTGAGCTATTTTATATATTTTTTCATATTAAGTCCTCAAAATCCAGGGTGTGTTTCATACCTGCAGCACATCTCAGTCTGGACTAGCCATATTTCAAGTACCATAACATACTGGACAATTTAAAGTTTCCCTTTGCTAGGAAGCTCAATTATAAGATTTCATCCCCAGTTTTTGGTATAGTTTTGGAAATTCTTTATATGTGTTTTGATTTTTCTTTAATTTGAGCTACCTTTTATTCATATATATATATATCTATGTATTAACTGTATTTTCTTATATTTTTTGTTAATATGTAGTCTTATAGGTATCATTTTTCTGTACGCGTTCATGGAAAAATCATGACCTATGCTTTATTAAGTACACTCAAATTCTTTCTGTAGAACTGCTTCAGTTCTATATTTAAACTCCAGATTTCAAAAATTTAAGAAAAACAGGCATATTCAACTTCCTAATTTAGTTTCAAGTTTATCAGGAAAAAAAAAACAACCACCTGAAGAAATCAGTGATGTGTAAAATGAGGTGAACATATGATTACACATTAACTGTCACTTTCAAATAGTCAATATTAATTATTAGGTATTTGAGATAAAATAAGGCCACATACCAACATTTTATAATTAAGTTCTGTTTTACATTTCCATTATATTGATATGAAATCTCTTGTTATGTATGTTATATATTATGTTTTTTTCCAACCCAGAACACAGAATTTGAGTTTTTGATATCCAGTAAGATCCTGGATAATAAAATATAAAGCTTAAACAGTATCAAGGAAAAGGAATGTACTTAGAGCTTGAGTCTTCAAATACATTCCAAAAATTTTTAAAAATGCATAGTTACATTAGGCCTGTTAGGTCCAGGAGGTACTGCATTCATTAAAGTATACATGTTGTCTCCAGAGTTGGTTGAGTCTGAAACAAAATATTACTGAATTAATATCTTTCATTATAATCTACGCCCAAGTCATCACAAAGTAATAATCAAAGATGATCTGGACACTTATGCATATTTATAGCTACAGCACTCGAAATAGTCATTACTAATGTTCAGAAACAAATATCTGTAAGTCATTTTCTGACCCAAAAATTATCATTCTGAGGTTGTAAATTAGGAATATCTACCTAATATATTAGGAGTAATCACTTGAATAATTCAGATCAAAAGGAATATTACTTTAAAAGTCTAAAGAGTTACTGTAAATTTTTTCTTCTTTAAAAAACATGATCTCTTTTGATTTCTCTAAGCAATTTATATGTATACATATAACAGAAATCTCTTAAAATTCAGATTTAGTAGCTTTTAACTTATTATTTCCTTAGGCTTCTTATAGACCAATTTAAAAAAGTTTATTTAGCTAATAATTAATAAAAGCTGGTAGAATATCCTGGCTTAGTTCCCACAGAAAGATATTAGAACGAGACTATACAACTGGAATGAAAATTCTCTTGCTTGAAGTAAAAGCCAGCTTCCACTGGTACAACTTTTGATAAAAATCTTTTCATTCATTTTATTTTTGATTCATTATAATAAAAATAACTGTAGTGTATATCCACATAAATATATGTAACATTTTACATTTCATGTCTATTAGCTAGTCCTAATTAAGTCTCTGAGTATATGTGTTTATAATGTATAGCCTAGAGTGAAAGGCTTAATATTTTATATTTAGGAACTATCAATTATAAAATGTTTTTCTATTTTTCCACAATTATATAGTTCTCTTAATATAATGTTGCAGGCCTCTATTTTGAAAAAGATGTTTTTCAAATGTTTTGTACTGATTCAAGGCAGAAGATAAAACTTATTTGCTTTCTCATGGCAATAACCATAGAGTGAGAAATGGGTGATTACTTTTCCTCTTGTTTTGTGATTATTAGACGTTAATTTATTATTTTAGAGTAGGTTAGATGCCATTTATACTTTGTAAACAGTGATCCATAAACCTAAATATTATTTTTTATTTCTAGATTAATACATCATATTGTTGAGAAAGTTGAAATGCCCACCTCTGGTTGACCTGTTTGTTTATACTAAGTAAGCTCCTAATCTACTTTTGTGGCCTTAACTATTTTTACATCCTTATGTACACTATACTCCTGTCAACCCAGGCTACTTGTTCTTTCTTGCATATGATCATCCTTCTCCATCACCTTATTTTTGTTCTTTCTTCCTCTGAGCATCTTCTCTACACAATCTCTGCTTACTGAAATTATACTCTCACTATTCAAGGCCCATTGCCAATGCTACCTCTTCCATGAAGTTTTCCCCTGATACTTAAAAGTATGTGAGTGCTCCTCTACCACTGAATTCTGCTTTGCATTATAGTTAATATTTTGTCTTATTTTTCCCTCCTGCTTCAAACTAGGCTATAATTTCTTTGAGAGGAGGAAAGGGACCATATCTTACTCATGTTGTGTACTATAAGTAATAAATATCTACTAACTTAGATTCAATTCATGGCATAAACTCTATCCCATAAAAATGTATCTGCATCCCATAAAAATGTATCTAGTTTTTAAACATAGGAAACCTTCAAATGGTTTTTCACCTTTATTAGCCTTACTAATTTTACTTACTGATTTTAGCAATTAATTTGAAAGGAAAATGGGCTGTATATTTAAAAATATGCAGAAAGAAAACTTTATTGCTTTTAAGACCAATCAAATATAATTGCATCTGAAAATTAAGAAACATTGAGTGAATAAGGTTGGTGTTTTTTAGAAAATGTCTGATTTATTTTTATATACAAAAAAACTTTACAATAGATATTCTGGCACCTATTTTTTGGAGAGTGGGGGATATTGGCTTCATATTAGAGGACTGACTGTGATAAAGGATGAGTACATAAAAGAATAGGCAGAAAAGCTAGCAACATATACTGGTGGCAATTTCTGGCTTGAAAGGAAGAAGTGATCAGATTACTTATCACCTGAAAAGTTTAGTGTTACTCCAAAAACTTTCTTTGAGTATGTAGTGAAGTATTTATTTAATCACATGCTACCTTCATAAATTAAACCTTAACTTCACCAAAAGGATTGCAAATGTGGGCAAGATGTTCAATTCATATACTTCTATCTTCACTGAATTTTGTTTCACTTCACTGAAGATGTTCTGAGGACAGAGATCCATGAAATATTTATGATATATTCCAAAGAGTTAGTGAGGCAAAGTAAAATTTTGAATTAATCATCAAATTTATGCTTTTTCTAAATTAAAGATTCAAAACTTAAAAATATTGATTGGTATGATTAATGATATTTAATTTCAAACTTCTGTGTATCTTAGATTTCAACAAATTCGTAAGAACATACGAATTTAACAGTGCAACGTAATAAAAAATTTTTTCTAATTATAAAAATTTCCCATATATTTCATTACCCAGAAGTTAAAACTGACAAAGTCTTAGTCTGTTTCTTTGTTATCTACTTTTTAGGTTTCAGGGTAATATATTTTAGTTTTTTTGGCCACGCCGTGCGGCTTCTGGGATCTCAGTTCCCAAACCAGGGATCAAACCCATGCTCTCTACAGTGGAAGCACGGAGTCTTAACCACTGGACCATCAGGGAAGTCCCAGATTTCAGGGTAATATATTTTAAAATAACACTGTGATCATATTGTATTAAATCATGAACATTTATTTCTCTGTGTCATTAAAATTTCTTTGATAATAATTTTAATGGCTACATTTTAGTCCATAAAACATTAATTTAAAAATATCACTACAACTGGATTAGGCATGAAGGTTGTTTCTATTATTTTGCTATTGGCTATAACAAATGAGCATCATTCTACATGATTCTTGGATTGTACCTCCAATCATTTATAGTAGTAGGATTATAGTGTCAAGTGGTATGAGCTTTTTCACGGCTCTTGCTACATGTTGCCAGGAGCTTTCTAGGAGGGCTGTGCTACCATCAGAGGCCTCAAGACACATTTAATAGTTTGTATTAAAGTCTCAAAGGCAAGAGATATTTAAAATAACTACATGATTCCAGGAATATTAAAGTATTTTGGTTTAAAAGGTTAAAAAACTTTCCCCACTACATAGTGGGTTAGCTAACTAATAAATACCTATAGACGTGTAGGATAAATGATATTGTAAGCACATCCACATCTATCTTAGATGCTAGATATGGTGGATCTGATTTGCTGTATTAAACCTAATGGATCCATGTATTTCATGTGTTACTTATGCAGAATTTTTCTTAAGTTGTGAGGTTTGGATCTTTTCCACAGTCTCAAGCAAACTTTTAGTCAGATAAATTATTGGGCGATTCATACAGATCAACACAGTTTTCATTCTGATTAAATCTATTACGTACACAACAGGAGTTTTCTAAATGCTTAAAGTAACTGGACAATAGTTACTTAAGAACACTATTTCTTCCTACTTGCTACCTCTACTCAACTTGTGAAACCACCAATGAGGTAAAGAATACTACTAACTTTCTTTCATAACAATTTCTGTATTTTGTGATTTTACTCTAAGAATCAAATGCCCACGTGGCTAGTTCGATTACAATACCTGCTGGACTAGGCATGATGGGTGTTCCTGGTGGCCCTCCACCTCCTGGAGGACCCTAAATAATTACACAAAATTTCAGTAAAAATAAGGCATGGCATTAAACAATATAAGGAAAAACAGAAGTTAGACTTTATAATAATCCAGTTTGAAAACAGCAGAGGAAATACATTTTCTCCATAATTTATTTTCTTTGAATGCACAATCATTTCAATGTTATGCAAAATATAATTTAGCTTAAATATGCTGAGATTGTTTTGACAAGTTTCCAAAAACAATGAGCCTGTAACGCTGATTTATGATTCATGGCTTAATGACATCAGGTATAAGGAGGTTAAGGAGAAACCATTTAATAAGGCCTTTACAAATCCCATACAATAGAAATCATTCATGTGTATCTGTGATTTAGCTTACTGCAATTTTCTTACATTTTGTATCACTGGTTTTTATAGGCAACTGAAAATCAAAAGATATTCATATGTTTAAAAAAATACATTGATGCTGTTTCTTCTGCCAGCATCAACTGCAACACTTCTGATGCACTGTTCCTTCAGCTATCACATCAACTAGAAATGAGAGGTAATGCTGACTGATGAGAGGGTTTCTAAGGCTGTAGGTACACAATCAGTTTGAAATGGATGTTAGGTGACTCAAATTAATTCAGTTATTTCATGCAACCAAAATGAATAATTCAGGCAATGAGTTTTAGAATGTTCAGACTTACAGTAGTCAGATTAACTATTAAGTGGCTAAATTTTTGCTTCATTTGGAGTGCACAGACATAGCCCACTAATTATTTCAAATAATATATGTATTGCTATTTATTAAACAGCTTAAATTTACTTTCAATTAAGTCTATAATTTCAGAAAACTATATATATCAAGCCTATTTTTAATTGACTTTAAGAAAAAATAGGTTTTACTCAAACTTTTGCCCTGTTGTAGCCTCTCCCGTTGTGGAGCACAGGCTCTGGACGCGCAGGCTCAGCGGCCGTGGCTCACGGGCCTAGCTGCTCTGCGGCATGTGGGATCTTCCCGGACCGGGGCACGAACCCGTGTCCCCTGCATTGGCAGGCGGACTCTCAACCACTGCACCACCAGGGAAGCCCTACTCAAACTTTTTTACTTTCATAGTGATTGTGCAAAAAGTTAGACTTGCTTAGCTTGCATAGCTTAAAGGAATACTGAGCACTAAGTTCACAGGTCCAAAACAGCGTGTGCTTTTCGCTATGGTCACAGAACACTGTTTCCATGGAGGGTAAAATGCGCGTTGATCTTCTTCCTAAGTACTCCTTTTTTCCTACTCTGGTTAACCACCACCTCTGAAAAGTTCTTTAGGAAAGATTCTTCTTTTTACCGTTTTACTCTTGCTACTCTGTTAGGCATTTCCCTCTAAATATTATAAACAAATTATCTTTTATGATGGCCTTGAGATACAGCAAGGATGTAATGTGATGATGGTCAAAAGGTCATTTGCAAGTTCAAGAGGTCATGTAAAACCTGCTAATTTGACGAATGTAAATAATTGGAAATTTTTAACATGTACTAAGTGATAAGAAGAAGAGTAAGTGGTCTTGGTTTCTAAGAATGAAAACTAGCCCTCCTTCCCCAAATTACTAGTCATTATTCTGCTATCTAATTCTCTTTGTGGTTGGGAGAAAGTTTAATGTCTTCTTAGACTCTGTGTATGGCAAGTGGGGTGGGGAGGGAGTGTAGATTATTCTGAAGAACTGCAGATTCAAGCATATCATTGCATAACTGGGATGGCTTTCTTCATGATTGGACAGTGTATTGCAGTGGTTTACGGAAACATATGCTGAAGTAAAACACAGTACTCAGGGCAATTTTGGACAGATTGATAACTGTTTCACTAATGAACATCAACACTGAGGTTGGCAGACGAAACAACTCAATACAAATCAGATGTTCATTTCTTGGCCAACACACAGGGGCTCTTCTTAACATCTGGACAACTATTTCATTGCCCAAATAGAACATAACATCAATTCTTATGAGCAAACAAACCCAAATGTACTTACTACATAATTCCCAGGAGATGCTGAGGAGTATGGTATCTGGAACATGAACAGGACAAAAAATATACATATTTTGATTCATGTGGCAGTATGCAGACTGACCTAAAATGAATCTATTTTCTAACTTTTGTCAAGAAATTTATCACAAAGGATAAAGGCATTTATATATGTCTGAGTGCTAGAAAACTGAATAAAATGCAGAATTATCTTGATTTACAAAAAAGAGGATTTTAGTCAAGAGAAATCTGGATAGAATTACAGCTTCAAGTTATATTGATTTCAGGGCAGTTGTACTCACTGCTTGATACAATGACACTTATTTTGTAATTAAAAAGATATATATTTGTGCAGATAAGAACCAGAAACCAGAATTTTTCAAATTAGTAGCCTTTACAGATGCAATTTCTAATTTATGTGCATTCTGGGATACATTATTTTTTTTAAAGACAGGTTTCAGGCTACTATATTCATGCAGTAGTCAATACTTGATATATAAACCTCATTTTTCCCCCCTTTCCTTTCTAATTAGCTTCTAGAAAACAATATAATGAATGCAAAAGATTTTGTTAATGTCAGTCTCCGAAGACTACTAATTTGTGGGGATCAGATATGGGTAACATATTCCCTCTTTCCCTTCAAATCAAGCTCCTAACTAAGCTCTTTTCTAGAGATTAGAAGGTATTAATATGACATTGCTGTGATAATTTAAGAAATGAAAACTGGAAAACATATATTTAAAAATAACCCCTTAACTGTGGATATTAATAGAGAAGTTAAATCCAAATATTCTTTTTTCACACAAGCTCACTAGCTTACATCCTTCTGCACATCCAGAAGAGATATTTTTGCCTTATTCTGAAAAAAGCCAGTAAATTACTGTCTTCTTGGAGTAGGACAGCCAGAGCCAAAATAGGACCTTAAGAGTGGTGAAAAGATTATAATGCCTGTACCTAAATGTTCCCTCCACCCCAACTCCTTCCTGATAATTAAACATAAATAATATGAAATAATAAAGTAAGCAGAAAGAAATACAACAAAGTTATGGTTTTCCTTTGATTTTAATATTGAGTTATTTGAAAGCTCTCTCCTCATTGTTTGGTGTCCTTGCTTTGCCTTAAGTACAGACCACAGGTGTCTGAGCCTCTGGTTGGTCCACCTGTGGGGAACTCAGCACTGCAGGTGGCCTTTACCGGAGTGTCCAGTATCACTAGTGATAACTATCACTTCTGTGAGTATCCGGATCCCTATGGCAGTAGACATTTACTCGACTTGGTGAATGAAGACAGCTTTGCTCTCTAGGGTCCTCTGCAGTTCATGATCTACTATCCATCCTCTGCTTATTATTTTAAACATGTGCACCTGCCCTCTCCAAATCACCAACTTATCTGTTGTCTCCAGCTTTCATCTCCTTACAGCTTTAGCACCTGGCTCATGTTCTTCTGCTTCTATTGCCTACCGTCGCCCTTAAGCAACTTCAAGATATGATCTAACCACTCTTTAGATCTTTGGAATTTACACTCACTGCCTTTCCTTTCCTTTCCAATATACCCCCCTTTTCCATTTCTGAGCACGAATACATCCTAAAAGGTTTTGCACAGAGGTCTAAACAACTTTCCTGACTGACATTTTTCTTGTTCCTCATGGCACTCACAAATAACATTCTATATTCCAATCAGAATCTTATCCCATCACAATTCCTCTTTAATTTTGGCTTCCCCTCACTGTTTCTACCTCATAGTCTTTGTTGCCCTCATCAAGAGAAAGGAGGATTTGGGCTCCTACCCCTAGCACTTTATGGAACCTGCATTCTTGTAAATTACATCAGCATCTGCCAGCCTAGCCTGAGGAACAAAATATGACAATGTAGGTAGAAGTACTGTGTGGGCGTAGAAGACGTTATTTGAGCTGGGCAGCTAGGACTTAGAGAGGGTGGGGGTCCATTGGAAAGACAAAGAGAAGGATCAGCATTTGAAAAAGCAATGTGAAAGTACACAGTTTATTAGGGAAATGGTATATGTAATTTTACACAGTTGTTGCAGTGTGGGATGTATAGGGGATTGTGGTAGATGAGGCTATATGGTCAGACTGAATTTATGCTGTTGGAAATAGGGAGTCACAGGCTTTAGAGAGACATGTTCAAATTTATGTTTTAGTAAGATAACTCTAGAGGCATTATGGAACATGAATACAATTTAGGGGACCATTGCAAAAAGTCTAGGCAAGAGATGGTAAAAAGTGTTCTAGGCAGGGCTGATTAAGATAAGTAGGAGTAAGAGAATTTGACAGACTTTTCACAGATGTACTCCGCAGGGCTTGATGACAAACTGGGTGTGGTGGACAAGGGAAGGGAGAAGTTAAGGTGATTCTGAGGTTTCCAACTTGCTGACTGGGTGGATGATGGTGCTACTAATTTATATACAGGGAATTTAGGAAGTGGGGGACAAGTTTGGGGAATACCTGACATGTCGAATTGGAAAGCACTAATAGACACTGAGTTAGATCTGATCAACAGATATTTGGAAACAGAGGTCTGGAACTCATTGGAGATAGGACTAGAGATAAAGCTTCAATTGAATAAATTTCCATTTTGTGCTGGGCACGAGACTTTAATCTAGGATTTGATTAGATTTAGTGATAGTTGAAAATGTTAAAATGAAAAAAAAAAAAAAAGCCCAAGATTGGAATTAAAGAACATTACTAGTTAAGAAAGGGCGGATAATGTGACTGGAGGAAAATCAGGAGAAAATATCTCATAAAAAGTCAAGCAAGTTAGACTTTCAAGAAGCAAGGAGTTGGGGCAGCTTGGCTAGGAAATGCCTAAACTGGGCTTATTTTTGAGCTCTGTCAGGCTCAAGTCTTTCAACCTTTCTGTGACACACCTAAGAATAAATAATAAAAAGGAATATGCTAGTACAAATATGGAAAAAAACACGTTATTTAAATGAAGAAAAGAAATGAAGAGACATTTAAACAAAACCAAGGTAGCAAATATTTCAAAGGTCAGGTATGATGAGGACAGAAAATAAGTCATTATTTTTGGTTGGTAAGTAGAAGGTCACTAGTAACCTTCAGAATAGTACTTTTCATGGGAATTGAAACAGTTGAGAATTCAATTCAATCAATCTTCGTCCATCACCTGTTATATTTCAGGCACTGCACTACCACATAGTAATGAAATGGAAAAGAGGATCAAGGAATTCACTGTCCAGGAGAATGGTGGTGAGGGATTCAATGTGTGAGAGACACTGGATGGTGGTTTGAGACTGAGGAAGGGTTGAGAGAAGTTTTCTATCAGTTGCCCCCTCCCAACTGTAGAGGAGTGAAAGACTGGGGGTTTTAAGGTTGTCTTGGGATTTTGTTCATTGGCACAGTGTTAGGGAAAGTTCCAGCCAATGGAAAGGGATTGATGAAAACTCCTTTAGAAAATGAATGAACGAGATATGTAGAGACATCAAGACATGGAATAAAGAGAACAGATAAAACAGTTAGCATTGAGAACATTTCTGAGACAAGCGGAAAGAAAAACGATTAAAGGTCTTATAATATTGGAGGTAAGGGTAGAATTTGAAGAAATTTGAGTCTAATGGTGTTTTGTTTTTTTTCCTCTATAAAATATGAGACAAGTTTAGCTAATAGAGAAGGGGCCAAAGATAAGAAGTGCAGGAAAGGCAGGCGACTAAAGAAGAGTTAAAAAAAATTGCTGGTCACACACATCAGTGAGGACTCAGCAGAGGTTGAAGGTTATATATTTAAATTATAACACATTATGTTATAATGTTCAAAGACTTGAAATCACCTTCAACTTCTTCACTTTCTTTATCCTCAAGTCCAACAAGTCACCAGGTATTTTTGATTCTATGTGAGACATTTATCTCAGCCATCCTTTCTCCACTGCTTTTACCTTAGGCTCTGACAACATTTTATAAGGTCTGTTACTATACTCTCCTAATATTGTTTCCCTATGTGTCCATTTTATATGCTATCTTCCTAAAACACAGCTCTGTTCCACACAGATGATAATTACAGATTTCTCAGCATTCAGAGCCCTGAACACATCATGGTCCCATTTTTCTTTTTCCAGCTTTGCCTTCCAAATCTATGTTCCCAGCCACTAAGAGTCTAATAATTTTTTCTCACACATTGCCTGCATTTCCCTTTCTCTTTACTTTTGTCCAGGCCTTTCTCCACCTCTAGTGACCAGATTCTTCCCAATGTAATTAATCTCATCCCTCCACCCCTCTCCCATATGCTACACAAAATAACGATTAATATGAAATGAAAGATGAAAATGCAGATGTAGAAGATAAGCAAGACCAGAGAGGTAGAAGACCAGAATCATAGAACAAGAATCTCTTATTTGACAGATGATAAAATTAAAGGCCATATGTATTGTCTGGTTAAGCTAGACAGAAAATTCAAGAGCTGTGACAACAATCCAAATATTCTGAAATATTCTGACTCCTAATATCCATGACTGGTGCTGTGGTAGGGGGAACAGCAGAATAACAAGAAGTTTTTTGGCTTCATTAAAAAAATGATTAGCTAAGTAGCTTTATATTTTAGGTAAGTAGCTTTCGTCAACTGTGAATTTCAAAACTACCTTAAAAGCACTGAAATTCAGTTCACCAGAAATCGCAAGGGGAACATTATCTGTGTCAGTGTAAAGTTGAAAATATTCTATTATTTTGTAATGCTCTTAAAAAAAAATGAGCATCTATTTGTACAGGGCAGAGCCTATTTGGAGTAAAATATTTGTATTTCTCTTAGGCTTAATCATTGTAGTAGATCCTCATTTTTCCTTAAAGGGGTTTTCTCTTCTATCTGTCCAGCTAGTGAGTTGATGAATACAATGCTATACTGAACGTTTGTTGTTTCTGCCTATCCCCTCTTTTGCCAACAATTCCTTGAATTCTCTTTGAACCATACCTCCCTTATTTTTCCATGTGGCTTGGGTGGGGCTCAGGAAGTGGGTGTGTGACCTAGGCCTGGCCGATAGAGCATTGTACATAACTGGTTCATGAATGAGTCTATGTACCCAAGCTAAGTGAATCCAGTTCAGTTAGTTATTCCCAATACCTGTGCTTAACTGATAGAGTTGCGCTCTTTTGTACTCAACAGGGAGCTGTGAGGATATAAATCTGGAGCTTCACAGGGCCTTCTTGCCAGATGAGTGGAACAAAGGTAAGCAATGAATAGAGGCAGTGTCTGATGATGTTATTTGAATACTTGGAACCAAATGTACCCCAAAGCAAATTTATATCTGGACTTTTCAGATACATGATCCAGTAATATTCTCTTTCAATATGAGCCTAGTTTGGTTAGTTTTCTATACCTTGTAATCAAAAGTGTCTGCAGACAAAGCTAATTAAGATATTTTTGATAAAAGTGCTTGCTACTTAATGATTAGAACTTGCTTCATAGTTCAACCCAAATGCACAGTTCTTTGTGAAAAACATAAAAAAGAAAAAAAATGGTTGGTAGACTTGTAAATAAGCTTCCAAGTAAGAATCTGAGGCCAGTACTGTAATGCTCAGAGTGAAGGAAGTTAAAAGTAAAAAATCGTACTCTTATTTTGAATTAAAAACATAAATTTGTCCTTAAAAATGTTTCTCCTGCTGCCATGCAAAACAGTGCCAAAAACATTTTTGATCAAAACACTTGTATATGACAAAACTATGTAAAGATAAAGATTAAGCAGATAAATAAATATATTGTGGATAATGGTTGGTAGATTTCTCACTTTCAGAGAAGTGAAGTATAAACCTGGAAAGCAGAAAGTCTAGAATGAACTCTGTTGTACTGAATTGAAGCTGAAGCACCAGTGTGCACTCACGGGGTTTTTAAAAAATTTTATTGGATAAAAGTTGATTTACAATGTTGTGTTAGTTTCAGGTGTACAGCAAAGTGATTCAGTTATACATATACATAGATTCATTCTTTTTCAGATTCTTTTCTGATACAGGTTATCACAGAATATTGAGTAGAGTTCCCTGTGCTATACAGTAGATCCTTGTTGATTATCCATTTTATATATAGTAGTGTGTATATTTTAATCCCAAGCTCCTGATTTATCCCTCCCCTCCACGTTTCCCCTTTGGTAACCATAAGTTTGTTTTCGATATCCGTGAGTCTGTTTCTAAATAAGTTCATTTGTATTATTTTTTAAAAATCAGATTCCACATATGAGTTATATCATATGATATTTGTCTTTGTCTGACTTACTTCACTTAGTATGATAATCTCTAGGTCCATCCATGTTGCTGCAAATGGCATTATTTCATTCTTTTTTATGGCTGAGTAATATTCCATTGTATATATGTACCACATCTTCTTTTATCCATTCATCTGTTGATGGAAATTTAGGTTGCTTCCATGTCTTGGCTATTATAAATAGTGCTGCACTGTGCACTCATGGTTTTAATATGTAGAGATACAGAAAGATATAGATGTGTGTGGGTGTGTGTATATACATACATCTGTATCCTAGTTCTGTTGGTTGAGAGGGTTAGAAGCTAGATTACTCCAATGGGTTCTAAATACCACTCTCCACTAAAAGGAACCAGGGACCCTTAAAAAATGGCTGTTTCCAAGGCTAAGACTGGGAAAATATGAGCTTCAAAATGCTCAAAGAATAATGGGGTCATGTCAAAAGGACAAATGATCCAACCTGAAAGGGTTTTAACTGGACAAATCTGAAATGATTTTAGTATTAAAAAAACCTATTGGACAAGGTAAGAATCCACGAGTACCTTGGATTACATGAATGATCGGAGAAGAAAGAAAATCTCTTATAGTAGAAAGTCAACTAATAAGTGGAGAAGGAAAGACAGAATTAGAAAATAGACATTCGGCAACCAACACAGCAAAAAAACGATTCAGGCGAGATTCATCGATGGATACTAAAAGTAGCAGATTAAAGTAGGATCTTTATGATAGTGTCAAAGTATGTCTTCACAGGTTGAAAATTACAAAGGGAAAAATAGTAATTTAACAAGCTAGGAGAAACCTAGCAAGCATCATCTAACTAAGTGATCAAAGTTAACATCACAAGTAATAGATACATCACCATCATATGCCCCCTGAAATGACGCACTGAGCAAATCACAAAATTACTTCTGTGGATTCCTGCCAAATATATATAACATGAATCTAATCATGAGGAACCATCAGCCAAGACCAACTTATGGGACATTCTACAAAATAACTGGCTTGCAGTCAACAAAACTCCAAGTTTACAAAAGACAAAAGTTAAGGGACCTGTTCCAGGTTAAAGGAGACAAAGAGACATGACAGATGAGTGCAGCAAGTGAACTGGGATTTTCTTTTGTTACAAAGGATATTGTTGGGGCAACTGGTGAAATCAAAATAAGGTGTACAGCTTAGAAAATGGATTACATCAATATTAATTTTAAAATTTTGATCCTTATACTATGGTTATGAAAGATGTCTTTGTTTTTAGGAAACACAAAGTATTTAAAAGAAAAGAAAGTATATAAAACATATTTGGAAACAGCAAAAACAAAACAGCCAGCCACTTTAATGTGCTGCTCTGAGGAGCCAGAGGCTTACTGTATTGATACCAAATGAAAAGTATTTGTAATATTAAATATGGACACAAAGTCCAAAGAACTTGGAATTCAAAATAATACAGATAAATTGTCACTACAACATAATCAATGGTGTTTAGGGGAAAAGAATCTCTCTTTAATACTTTTGCTTTGCTTCATGTAAGCCTTATGTTTTTGCTAGAAAGTCATCAGTTGTCTTTGGTTTTTTTCTTCTCATAATCTATCATATCAGAGGAATGCTCTTCCTTTCTGTGCTCAGGATGATGACTCCTTTCTTTTTCCAAAGGGAAAAGTATAGGTGTTCCTTCACAACTTTTCCCTATTCAAATTCTTTGGGGGGAAGTGTACCCATATGTGGTATATATTAACAGAAGGGACTGCTTTCAACTTGATTACGTGCCTACATGTGTGCTGGCCAAATGCCCATTTCACAGTGGTTGTTCAGTAGTTTGATATGCACAGCTCCTTCCCTAACGCCTAGTGTTTCTCAGGGTCTAAAATAATGCAGAACGGCTGCCCTGATACAGTACATTCTCCTATCCATGTGCTTGGCTCTGTGAAATCCCCAAGAGTTGTTTAGGTATCTAAAAACTAAAAATGATCAGAAAGCATAACTCTCTCCTCATCTCTGCCTCTACCTAATACTCTTCACTTGGATAACACACCCGCTAGGTGCAATGCACCACCTTTAGTATCATATCCTGCCCACCTTCCTTGGTGGCTTTTGGAGGATAGTATCTCCAGATAAGCGTACAAAAGGAGGTCCTGCAGGAGGTGGGCAGTGGAGGGGGTGGCTGGCTGAGCTGGCAGTGAGGAAGGAGAGAGGGTCCTCTTGCTTCTAGGCAGGAAGGCTTACTAGCTAAGGTGGGTCGTCGATTGTGCTTTTTAACCCAGTTTCATCAGACATGTAGATAACAGAAATTCTTTTCAGATTCTGACAATAAGAAGATTTGCAGAGTTTTCACTGTTATTAAAAAAATGTTTTTCTGCACCTTTATAGGTATTTTAATGGGGAGTTCAAAGAAAGTATCTTGAGCTGCTAGTTAGATGCCTTTTAAAAGTGAAATCTTGAAATTTGAAAGGCATATATAACAAGAGGCAAATAGAAATGTGAACTAGTCAAAAGCATATAAGCAGACTAAAAGAAATTTGGAGGAGAAAAGATAGTCATATTACAACATAATCAGGTAAAATGGTATCTTAGAAGATTTGTTGAACTTAAATAGTGAACTGAAGACCCAAACGGAAGCAGCAACATCACTCTCTCCACCCCAAACAATATTATTTAATTAGCAACTGTGATAGCTATTGAAATTAAGAGATAGGCAGATAATATAAAGTAAATGTTTTCTCTAAAAATGTGACAGTTAACTTAATTGAGAAGAAAGTGATTTCTGCTTTAGAATAGCAATGGATTTAGGATGATTCTTTCCATACCACCCACACCTCACTTTAAATTTTCTTTAAGTTTAAATTAACATTAAACATTGAATCAGTTTCATGTTTATTTAGCATTAAGGCCACTGCTAGTCAGTGAAGGTACCTCTGCATATTAGCAAAAGGCATCCCTTCTGGGCAGAATCCATAGACTTCACAAGTGGAAAACAGCTATATTTCAGCCTCCTTTTGACTCCCTAGACTCAGGCATCTTTGTGCAGTGCACATACTACACAAATGTACAGAGCAGAGCTCTCTCACAGATTGAAGAACTCAAGGTTTCAAAAGTCAAGAAAAAAATCTCCAGGATCATTAAATTTAAAATCATATCGATATTAATTTTAAGATTGAAAGCTTAATTTTTAACCTGTGCCTATATTTGTGACATTAATAAGAGACAAAAATATTTACGCAGTCAAGTCATGGCCACAAAACTTGTAAGGAAAATTCCCATGATGTCAGATACATAGATACAAGTGTGAGGATGGCAGTTTAGCCCACAGGCACAAGGTAAATGTGTACTTCCTTCTTGGGGCAGCGAGAGAGCAAATAGGTATAACCAGAACAGCAAATATAATAATAATAACTGAGATTGATTTTATTTGGCAACTTAGTAATTATTATAGTTATTTTAGAAGGTGAATTCATCATATGATAAATTTTACGATAAATGTAGGCTACCGTAGAGTATCCTTAAATCACACTACTCCTCTATTTTTGAGGGCCTGGTAATCTACATAGAATGCATGTTTACATTAGACCTTGAAGTGAAAAAAATCACATAATTTCAAAAGTTATACATATTTTTCTAAAAACATATAAAAATTTATTTTTTGAATGATTTCTTAAAAAAAAAGGTTAATATAACCAATTGCAGGGCTTTCAAAAGCAACAGATTTTTGTTGTTAAATGCTACAAAGTGCAAAGAAAATGAAAAAAATACATATACTCACTGAGTTGGCATTTGTTGGGTTTGGCCAAGGTCTACCACCACCAGGACCCCTGTAAGACAAAATGGCAAATGAAATTTTAACTGATGCTCTGAATGTTTCACAGTAAGCAATAACATCATAAAATACAAACATTTATAATTCAGTTACCATGCAGTTCTAGTCCAGCACTGAAATTACTCTTTATATTTTCACAGCTTTTTTATTTCTAAAATCCAAAAATTTTATCATTCCCCCAAACAGCTTTCACTGTTTTACAGCTGTTTTAAACAGCTTCATCACTAATTATGAGATAAATGTAAAAGATAATTGTGACAATAATAAGTGCTGCATGTATCATTCAAAATGAAAATGAAATTATTTGTGAAATATCATTATACATAAAATGATTGCTCTTAAGCTACAAATGAATAGCTGTACATAGTAGGTATCTAAATTTGCCTCCTCTTCAAAAAATTGCATAGAATATCATGTTACTTTATACATCTATATATCAATCTATCTTTCGGTGCTAGTGATGATTTGGTTACTATTAAACAAGGGAAACACATTTCTTGTTTTCATAATTGTAGTTCAAGATAGTGGCCAGGGTAAATCTTGGGGAAAAATAGGAGGTAATCTATGCTAATGTATGTCAATATATTACTTCATGTTAGGGCGAGGGAGAATGTTCCCTATTCTATAGCTTAAAAGGACATAAAGCTTTTAAAACAAAATTAATGCCTAATTAAATTAAAAACATCTCTTGTCCATTTGCTTTTTAGTATTAAGTGTACCTGAATATATACTGCCTGATAAAAAGTAGACTACTGTCAGCAGGTCTTCTCTAATTAGAGTCACTCAAAATTCCCCTTTTCCCTCTAATCTCAATGAAAACACTGTGACATTTTTTAATTTAAAAAAAGTCCCCTGATTCTTATTCTAGGGACCTTAAACCTAAAGTTCTAAATGCTAGATAGAGGCTGTCCAAGTTAGCTATATTACCCATGTTTGCTTGGAATGTTTAGAACTGTTCTGGGTATTATTTTGGGGTTCCCCAGGAATGTAAACAGCAGGGAAGGGCATGAAAAATTGTGTCCTTAGGCTCTATTAGGATGCCCAAGTGCAAGTCCACTTTTGACCAGAACGGACTTGGTCAAAGTATCATGCATAGGGAGAAGGCGAGGGGCACGTGTATTGTCTCTGGAAATAGTTCCTCTCTAGGATAATGATGAGGACTTTACAATTAGTTACTGGAACACTTTGGAAAGGTGATTTTACATAGAGGATTCAGTGTCTTAATGGACAGAAACTGAGGTAAAGCATAGGATATACGCTGATCAAGTAAAACACTTGACTTGTTTGACGTTAAATAAAACACAGTAAAGAAACTGGAAAATATTTATCTTAAAACAACATAAAAATATACTATATATCCAAATCATGGGAAAAATTTGTATGCAACAACATGCAGACAATCTCATATTTTGAAATATTATGTTTAAACAAGGACTGTATGAATAAGAGATATTAAATATAAAATAATTTTGTTAGTTAAAAATTTGTTTAATGTTAAATTAATGTGGTAAACTAAATGTTAAAATAATTAAACATTTTACTTAAGTAAATACAAATTAAATAAGTTGAAGTTAAATGTTAAATTTATTCTAAGAACCATAAAATACCTTTTATGCAGTTCAATTGTTTGACAAATACTAATCTAATCTCAGCTCACCATGTATTTCATATTAAGTTACATTTTAATGTAATGGGTTAAATGTTAACTCATTTGAATAAGCTAAATTTCCCCCACCATTACCATTGTGTTTGAAAACATTTTCAGTTTTGCAAATACCGCTAAATAAAGTGGGGGTTATAGTAGTGAGTAGTTCTATTAGAACAACTTCTTAAGTGCGGTAATTCCTACTCCTTTTGAGGGCCATCAGTATTATCAAGAGAGTAATCTACAAACTATAACACAGGCATTACTTTGAATGTACATTTCTACATAAGTATAGTTTGAAGTAGAATCAGGTTAGCCTCATTTAAAAATAAAGAGAAAAATGAAGTTTAAAAGAAGTCTTTAATTTTTGGTAGGGGTGTATGGATATGATTAAATCAAGGCAACCATGACTACCAAAGAGAAAAATTCTCTTTTTTTCTGTAATTCAGTCATTTCGAGATAATAACCATACAAACTTTATAATTCTGTAGGATGTGGTTTAGAACAAGAAAGTCTAGATCCTTTGAAATTATTTGTCCTCTTAGTTTCTATAAAATAGCAAGGTATACAAAGTTGAATTAGAAATATTTTAATACTGAATCCTACACTCTTTTGGAATTTGTAAAAATGTAGTTTATTTAGAAATATAATTTTCTTTAAAAAATAATCTGTAATGCATTTGAAAACATTTACATTGTGGCTGTTGTTTGTAAATTCTACTTTAAACTACTGAAATTGATATTAAATTTTTTTCTAAATATATAATACTAGTTATATAAACATTAAAAGTATACTCTTATTTTAATTTTAGGTGACACCACATATGATTTATCCTGAGTTTGGAGCATGGAAATGTAAAAATCATATCAGAATAACTATTTTCTTTAGAGGTCACCAATATTTTTTTAACAACAAAATTATCAGAATTTTGTTCCCAATGGTTTGGTGTCAATATAAGAGAGAAAGCTGCAGTTACAGACTATGGTATTTAGTTAATTTAATGACCGGGGTTTGGTATTCTTTACTGTCATTATACTTTGGTGTCAAATAACAAAAAGTGACGAGCTAAAGAAACCTCATCCAGATATGATCCTCCAGTAGATCCCTCCTGATCCCAACACACAAATATCTTAGACTCTTAAAAACATAGCCTAAGGTAACACTATTCTAATGCCTTTTCCTTTAATTTTTAAGTTAGCCAACATGTAAAACAGTGACATGAAGGGAGCCATAATTCCAGTTAGAAATACTTACTTGCCATAATACAGTAAGATTTAGTTTGTTTTAACAATAATAAATTATGAAGTGAATTTCAATAAAATTTATTGAGTACAATGGAGACAATAATGTGTTTTATTATTAAATTCACTTCTGCTTTCTTGGGGCCAATATCAATAAGAGAATGAGTCTCTCTGGTTGGACCTTCCATACTTCACAACTTTCCCTGTTAGAGGGAAATATTTGTGACTTCACTGTCCTTGAATCCTAATTTATAGAAAACTGAAAATGGTATAAGACTCCAAATAACAGTCAGCAGTAACAAATAATGGAAATTTGAGTCTGTAAAGCTTAAAGGCTCTTTAAAAAACAGATATTATATAAATAGTAAAATATTATGTAATAAAAATATTTTAAAATATCTGGGTATATTTAAATGAGAAACCCAAATATGAACAAAAATAATCATTTGAAATTTTCAGCCATACTTTTAGTCTCCATAGTCTAGGGAATTAAATGTACCCTTATGTATCTGTTTAAATGTATGTGAGAAAGGAATGAGACAATTTTAAGCAGCTATTTGAGTCTCTTAATAGTCATATGAGAATAACTTTCCTCTATACTAGCAAAACTGCGTTGATCTAAAGTCAACCACATCACTACAAAATGATATTAGATACATTCTTAACATTTAAAGAGAATTTTGGGTTGATCATAGCATTCAAAATGTATACTCCTTACCTCTATACATAGTATTCAAAATTATTCTTTAAAAGGCATTCTATTTTAAAGTCAGAATCTTAGGTAGGTAAATTTTATATGTATCTAAATCCTATTGTTAAGAGTTTCAGCTTTTGATATAAGCACAAGATATCACTCCTTTTTGTAGAAACCATTAATAAGCCTAAACCTTTGAGGAATTTAAGAAAAGTCAGATTTCATGTCTATCCATTTTTACTTTAAAAGTAAGAAGACATGATAGGAAAATTTGACCTACTTTTTCCCCTTGTTCTGTTAGTTTTGAGCCTGGCTGGTATCCACCTATTAACCTATTTTCTATTTTAGGCAAAACTGCTTTCCATGAAAATGGTTCCAGAAACTTAAACAAATCCCTATGTACATCAAAAGAGCTCACCTCAGTATATATTCAATGCTATTAAATGATGGCAGAGTTGTTTAATTTGGTAGGTAGGTAACCAAAACATGGACTAATGGGAAATATATTAGAGGAGACTACCCAGAACCCTATATAGAGCTCTTTCATTATTTCTGATAAATTTTCTTTAGGCTACATCATGGAATTGGATCCTCTAATCAATTAACGAAAGTCATTCACAAGTTCTGGGTGTATATGGAACTTTGAGGGCTAGTAAGATAATGAAAAATAAATAAAAATTCCTTAACAAATTGCATTATATTGGCTGATAGAAGCAACTACTCTCTTTGGGCTTGAAAGGCCCTTTCAGTACAAAAAACAAAAAAAACTGTTAGTTTACTCCCTAAGTATATTTTGAATTTTCAAAAGAAAGTATACTATGGAAAGTTCTTTAATAAAGAAGAAACTACCAGAGAGACTTCTTCCTGGGTTAACAATGGTCCCAACAAAGCAAAAGTAAAGACATATATATATATTTATAAGAATTTAAAACTCATAGGAATCACGCTATATGTGTTAAAATGAACGATATTCCATCATCTACTTCTGTAAAGTCAAGTCATGGTCCTGGTGTCATCATCTCTTCATACTTTTGTATGGACTACATAAATATTATGTGCTTATTTATAAAAGACTCATTTTTATGATAAACATGAAAATCAGGCTAAAAGTTGGCATTTGTGGCATTTGAAAATGGAAAAAAATTAAGGGTTGCAAGGGAAGGAAGAAAAACATGGAGAATATGTTGTGAAAATGAAGCAAATGCTACAGCTCATGTTCAGTCCATTTATACTACAGTTTCATTTTATACTACACAGAAATTGAGCTTAAATTGTGTTACAAATTGGTGTGACTTTAGAAGACAGAAAAGAGAACACTTTACAGGATAATATAGCATTTTGCTTACATGTTCATTCCAGGCATTCCAGGGCCACCTAAAGCATTCAGTGGGGGTCTCATTGCACCTCCATAGTTCTGTAATGATAACCAAGGGTCAGACTACCACAAAACAAAAAAACAAAACCAAAGAGGAGGGGGGAAAGAAAGGAGAGCAGGTTAATGATTTCCCTACATAACTCCTGATGGGATAAGGCCTGTGCAATTCATTCTCAGAAGGATCCACTCTTGTACTTTTGCTTCTATTTTAACAATTACTTTGGTTTGTGCCTTTTAAAAACTACATGAATATGTACAATCATTGGAGCATGTTAAGTGATTAAGGTATAGTTGCAATTGTAATATTCAACATATCTTTATTAATTTCCTGATATCTGTACAACAGTGAACTTTTTCAAACAAAACATTTCATAAATCCCAAACTCTGTTTTTAAAGAAAGGACTTAGTCAACATGTTTGAAATTGTCTGACTCAGAAAAATTACATAAAGTCTGAAAACAAATAGGTGAATCCAGCATAAGAAAGTGGAATACAAATTTCTGTTCACAAAATAATATATCCAAGAGAGAAATGTACAAATATACAGATACACAAAAATATATGAACACTAAAGTATACTTCAAATATGTATGCGTGAATTATATGACTCAACAGGCTTCTGTCAATATCTATTATGTGCATTCAAAGGATAAAAACATTTTAATGTTTTAACATGCACATCAGCTTAGCTTAGTTTAGTTTCCACAAGGGCCAAAAGACTACTTTTAACATTATCATATTAATATATTTTGACATCATCAACTACTTTCATGCTCGGTTTTCTGACACCACCTGTTCCTCCAACATTTCTGATCACTCTTCTTCAATCTCCTTTGCTGGCTCCTTTTGTTTTGCTAGCTCTTAAAAATGTTGCTTTTCCCCGAGTTCTAGCCACAGCATTCTTTTAAATAAATACACATTTATGGGTACTCTTACCTGCTACCATTAGTTCAACAATTATTTATATGTTAGGAATTTCAAATCTATTTTGTCATGATGTCTCTCCTAAGCTCTTAGATAACTCATATGTTGAACTTCATATCAGCTGTTTCTATCTGGATACCATTTCACACTCAACATACCTAAAGGTAACCTCAATTTTATCTTGTCACAGCTGTGTTCTTTATATTGCCTTCCTCAGTCAGTTCTGTGGCGTCACCTTCTATGCAGCAGTCCAGGCTAAGAACCTCTGAGAGCTTGATATTTCTTTCTTTTATTTCAATTTCCATATCCAGTCAAGTTACCAAAGTCTATTGATTCTACCTGTAAAACAGCTCTTGAAATACTGCCCTCCTTCGTATCACTCATCTCTGTCATTTAGCGAGACTACTGTACTGTCTTAGTTGGTCTCTCTGACTTAGCCTCTCCCCTTCCCCATCTATTCTCCATACTGCCTCCAGAACTGTGCTTCTTAAACTCAGTCCTATTTATGTCACTTAAAAGCCATGATGCCCCACAATGCCTATCAAATAAAGTCTGTACTTCAGCATGGGTCTATGGTGTTATTCACAGATCAGCTCTAGCCTATATTTCTTGCCCCCATTTCCTATAATATTTACCTTCTTCCCCTACTCCCAACTATACCCTCCAGACTGCTGAATTTCTTGTGGTTCAGAAACATGCAGTATGCTTTTACACTCATGATAACTCATCTGCTATGGCCTTCTGTGTAGTAGGTGCTAAGATGACAAGGAAATATTCAATGAGAGAAGGTCTGTTAACTCCAGAGAGTAAGCCACAGTTTGTAAATAAATTACCTAATTACATGCTCTTCTCATTTTTTATTTACTTTTACTTTCAAGAAATCTTATTTAAACATCTCAATTGTGTATGCTATGGGATAAGAGAATGGTGTCTATCCACACTTGAGTCACTGGTTAAAGAGAGAGCTATTTCTTTTAACCTCTGGAACAAGCATGGGGGTGGCAGCAGCAGTATTACCAAGGAGTCTCTGAGAAGAAAGTTAGTCACTGGGAACGAAATCTGAATGGTAGAGTATAATAGAAATTCTTCACACAAAAGGTTGCTCCTCATTTTTGATCTTAGGTGGTCTGTGTTTTATCAAGGAAAATGTTAGTTTTCCTTCTAGCTCTGGACATGGAAAGATACTGGTTTGAATCTCTCTTGCCCCTGCCCTATTTCCTCTGCTCCTCTTTCTATATGTGTGATTGTGGGCCAATGATTCTCCCAATGATCTGCTCAACCTTTATTTCCTTATCTGTAAAGTGAAAATATCATCTCTCTTATAAGCTTGTTGGAGGAAAAATGAAATCATACAAAACGCATATTAAAGTGCTTGGTGCATTAAAAGCATGATACCTGGTGCTCAAAAACTGTAGCTGTTAACTCTTATCACTGTTAATAAGGGACTGACTTAAATGAGTCTTCTCATTTTCCCTTGAGCCCTCAACACTAACATGGTTGTGACATAGTGACTCCCTGACAGAGTACACGTATTTCTTTTCTTGACTTTTTTCCTACTGCCTAATAGTTTTTCTTTATGTATCTGAATCTCCTGCTAAAGAATAAGTACCTGAAGGTAGAGTCTGTATTACTCATCTTTGTGCATCCAGTGCTCAAGTATGACAGTGCACAAGTGTCATAGGAAATGAGTAAGAAATTATCCAACACATATTTTGATAGACTTACAAAATATTTTCATTTTGTGAAGAATCTGAAGCATATAGAGAACAGGAAGATAAGACAGAATAACAACTAGCTTTCTAACTGGTAACAAAGGCAGAATGTGAAGAGCTAATTTCGAATCACTGAATTTTAAAGCTGATGGCAACTATACAATTCCATCTGGTTTAATCTCTCTCCCAGTGCAACGCTCCTGACAAAAGGGCTGTTCATACTCTGCTTGGAAAGTTTATAAAGAGTTTTTCCATGATTGGGCAGTTTAATTTCTAGCAAGTTCTTCCCCATACTGAGCTAAATTCCACTTCCCATCTTAGATTTGAAAATACAGAATTAGTTTACTCTCTCTTTACATGAGAGCCTATCATATATTTCCATCTCACTATTTCTCCACCCCAAGTATTTGATTTGGAAATCATGATATGTTCCTACTTGTATATAACTCATTTATCCTTCAGATTTCTAGAGGAATTAGAACTAGTTAGACAGTCTTGTTGAATTTTTCTGTTAATCATATGGTACCTGCTGAGCCTAAGAACACAGACAAGCTAAGTATACCTTATTATAAAAGCCAAGTAGAAAAATTACTTCAAATATGGCATTAGGGAAGACATTTTTCTTGATTAAGCAGATAATTTTGCTTTTCTATTGAAAGGATACTGATATCAATCTAAAAGTCATGTATTACTACTGAACGTAGATTTAAAATAGATTAAGGGGTGGAAAAAATATGCCAGCATTTGGAGCAAAGTTTTATTTCTTCATCCATGCAGTAGGTTTTAATCACATATTTACTATGTCCTAGGTGTGCACTTTGCCTACATCAGCATTGTCTGAGAATCAAATTATATATATTTCTTCTAGGAATTCAATTATTCCAATAGATAACTACTGTCCCTCTTCACCACATTGGTCCTAAGCTGAAAAAATTGTGGAAATAATATCTATGATATTATGATACATAATATCTATGTATCTCATATCTATGATACAAAGGAGGTATGTATTTTGTTTTGCATAAAGCTAGAAACAATATTCAAGAGACTGTTTCTATAATTCGGATACAAAAAAAGCAGACACATTCTGTTCTTGAGTAGCATCCATAGGATTAAATATCTGTCATGAGAGTTGTTTTTCTATTATCTTTTAAGAAACACAGCTAACTTTTATTATAAAGCTCACAGTTCAAATCCATATGTTACATATACCAGGTGTTATGAGTAAATACCTTACAAGAATCCCTTAATTCAAATAATTTTATGTCACTTTTTACCTATTATACCATTCATATGAATATGATTCCTATTTTCATTTAAGTACATAATATTTTACTTTAACCTTTTATACTTATATACTGTGATTTTAAAAGTTGTTGTAGGTATTTCTGGTTTCTGAGGTAAATTCATACCAAAACACTTTACTTCCTCCAAATTATAAAGGAATAGATAGCAATGATATTAATCCAAATGGAAGAAATAAACTACTCTCTTTGGGTGTGAAAATGAAAAGAATTCATACTTATATGATAAACTTAGTTAAACTCTTCAATAAGCAATTACTCCCCAGAAATGTTTTCTTACTTTCTGTCATAATTTACTTATAACACAAAACACATACATATTTGGCTAGATATTTATAAAATATAAAGACCAATATGCTTTTTACTTCTGCATTTTCAAATGAGATCTAAGTATTCATACAGCTTAGGTGAGCATTGGTTCATCTTTCAAACACTGCAAAACTGACTCGAATCAGACTCTAATTTTTAAAAGTATTGAAAATATTGGTCTGGAATGACAAAAACTCAAAGAGCAGCTAGCTGAAAAGTAAGAGAACTGAATGAAGAATAAATTACAGGCATCAACTTTTGATGTATATTTAAAATGCATCTGTTATTAAAAACTTTTGAGGAAAAAAATCCTTCAAGTTGTATATAGCTAAACTGGTTGGCTTAGCTCATTAAAGACTAAAAGTATATTCATTCAGTGAAATATCCTACAGATCTTATAAATTCTAACTGCCATTAATAGATTAATGATGGTTGGTCATAAAAATCATCATCCTTAACATGAGTAGAAATAGGAAAAAATAATTTAAATACCTAAATTAGGGTTTTATAAGATCTTAAGAAAATACATAGAAAATAACTGAGCCTAAATAAAAGAAATGGGTTTTTTATGACTTTGAAGATCCCACAAATATTTACATAACACTTTTTCTTATCATGTAATATGGTATCTCTGAAAAATTTGTGCTTCATGTCCCAATACAGTTTATATATACAGTTGACCCTTGAACAACATGGGTTTGAATTGTTCCAGTCCACTTATACGTGGATTTTTTTCAATAAATACACTATTGGAAAATTTTTTGTAGATTTGTGACAATTTGAAAAATCTTGCAGATGAACCACATAGCCTAGAAATATCTAAAAAATTAAGAAAAAGTTAGGTATGTCATGAACGCATAAAATACATGTAGACATAAGTCTATCCTTATATAAGCATAAGGGGAGTGGTATGTAATATAAAATTAATAATGTGTTTTCTTACTGTTTTATAATTTTGCTTTCAAAGAACTACATTACTAAAAAAAAAAAAAAAAAAAAAAAAGAACTACATTACTATACAGTATGTGCCTCTCTCTCTCCCTCTTCCCCCTGCCACCAACCCCAACAGGAGAAACTATGTATCAGCCTATCATCACATGTAAGTGGTTTAAAAAAATGTAACAATGTTTACCATACTGTATTGTGAATATGACTGTAATACTGTATGCCTTAAAAATGTTATAATGATTCATTCATTAGTGTATAGGATAGGCTATGATGAAGCAATCATTGATTATTACGCTAGTTTACCATAAAGCTATCATATTGCTGCTTCTTTGTTATCAATGCATGAATTGTTATACCTGTAAATAAATAGGAATTTTTTTCACATGATCTTTTCATTTTTGATGTCCCGTGTTAGAAATATATGTAATATCTACAGTGTTTTGTATCATTTAAGACAACATTGATGAAGATGCTGACAGATGATTCATCTTACAAACAGATGATATAAACTTATGGTATCGAAAAATATAGTGCAGTACTGTAAATGTATTTTCTTATGAATTCTGTAATAACATTTTCTTTTCTCTAGCTTACCTTATTGTAAGAATACAGTATATAATACAAACAATATATAAAACGTGTTAATTGACTACGTATGTTATCGGTAAGGCTTCCAGTTAACAGTAGGCTATTAGTTAAGTTTTAGGGAGTCAAAAGTTATACCTGGATTTTCGACTGCGCAGTGGTTTGGTACCCCTAACTCCCATGTTATTCAAAGGTCAACTGTATATTATTACATGTTGGCAGTAACTCCTTAGTCTAAGTCACATTTACCTGAGAATCAAATTATATATATTTCTTCTAGGAATTCAATTATTCCAATAGATAACTACTATCCCTCTTCACTACATTGGTCTTAAGCTGAAAAAAGCTTAAGACCAATGGGTGTTAGATTCTTAATTCTCTGACTCCTTTGGGTACACAACAAAATACTTAACATTTTTAAAGCAGATACATGAAACAAGCTCCTAAAACTATCACTTATAATGTCTGTTCTTGGAAAGAATAAAGAAAGTAAATCAATTCATTCTTTTAACCAATGTTATGATACACTAACCTCTGACCTTTGAGGAAGAAATTTAAAATTCGGAATTCTGGATTAGTTTCTTTGAAATATAACATTACAACATTAGTTTCTACCCCATGCAGTTTTCCCAAGAGAGACAGGGATGTTTTAGCTAAAATAAGTGATATCCTGGAGCAGCATACTTAAAAATGTCATCAATAGCTGAATAGGTTCAATCTTGGTGTATACTTCTGGGAAATTTTGATACAGAAGTAGGTTAACATCTAATGTATACTGATAGTATTATGCGTGTTCAGTAAGACCCATTTCAGTGTTTATTTCTAAAAGGTTCTCTATTGATTTCATATTCTGTAAAGAGATATGGTAGTATATAATAGTCAATGGCATTCTTTAAAAGATTTAGAAATATATTTTATGCTGCTTATTCTATTTAATTCAGTCAACTAGGTTTTATTTAACTTATCTATCTTTTATAATAATTACTATAATTTTTCATATTTCCTCAATAGAACTAACAAAAGGGTAATAGTTATCATTTTTAATAATAATTACTATAATGTATTTCTACACAATGTGTTTTCTCCAATGTACCAAAGGCATATGTGTAGCACCTGTTAAAATATGGTTTGTTGTTACATCAATTTGGACATGTCATAGATATGTCCTCAAGAGCCTAACAACCATGTCATTAAGCCTTTAATGTATACACTAGAAGCCAGCAAATAATACAGTTTGTTTGTATAAGATGAAGGCAAAAAACTCAGCCTCTAGCTTCCTGCACTGATTATTTATTTACCTGTGGTCCTAAGGGCACCATTCCTCTTGGAGGCGTCATTCTCTGCATTGGCCCACCCATATTTGGATGTCCTAAAAAGAAAAACAGTATGAAGATATTAGCAATGTAATGAGCATGAGTGCTAAACCGGAGGCTATAGCCTCCTCTCTAACTGGTGTCACATCTTATTTACTAAGGACTGAGTTATTGACATCACCTCATCTTGGCTTCCATGGCCAGTTTTCTACCTCTTATCACTACTTACCCACACTCTCCATTAATGTCTTGAAATTGAAATGTTCTTCCTATTCTGTGTTGAATTACATCTCTCACACCATTTGCTCCTTTTTTTTTCTCTTGGAATAGTATAATAGAGCCATACATATTTGTGGTACCTAAACAGCTCTGATTATTGGGTTTGTTAAACTACCAAGTAAGTTACTTATTGCATAGCATCCCCTTTCCTCCTGCTTATCTTTCTGGTGGACTAACCTCTCTATCTGAAAAAGGCAGAGAAAATCACAAGTGATACAATCACTTTGAGTCTCACTTGTTTGAAGTTATGCAAGAGGTTTTAGAAGTTACTAGTTAAAATACAGATTCTGGATATTTAATTATTCTGTTCCTTATGTTATCACTGCCCTCACTATCACACATAATTAAGAGTTAGCTAAAAAGATAATTACTTGGCCACATTACCTGTAAAAATGCAACTGATATAATTATGGAATATCTGTACAAATAAAACCTTCCTTAAAAAATACAGGATTTCCTTTGAGATTTTGCACATCAATTTCACTTTTACTTTAAAGTAGTCACCTTGTTGTCGAGTTGGGTCCATTCCACTGGGAAGTAATGGCTGACTTCCTGGGACACCTCCAAGAGCCTAGCATATTTAGTAAAACAAAATAAAAAGGAATATTGTAACTATTTATAAAATAAGTGCTGTAACAATTACAGAGTGCATCTGAGTATTTCATAAGATTTTTTTTTCAACATGTATTTTTTTTTCTATTGGAATGTATTTGATTTACAATGTTGTGTTAGTTTCAGGTGTGCAGCAAAGTGATTTAGCTATAAGTATACATGTATCTATTCTTTTTCAAATTGTTTTCCCATATAGGTGGTTACAGAATATTGAGTAGAGTTCCCTGTGCTATACAGTAGGTCCTTGCTGATTATCATTTTATATATAGTAGCGTGTATATGTTAACCCCAACCTACTAATTTATCCCTCCCCCACAGCTTTCCCCTTTGGTAACCATAAGTTTGTTTTCTAAGTCTGTGAGTCTGTTCCTGTTTGTAAATAAGTTAATTTGTATCATTTTTTAAGATACCACATATAAGTAATATCATATGATATTTGTCTTTCTCTGACCTACTTCACTTAGAATGAGAATCTCTAGGTCTATCCATGTTGTTGCAAATGGCATTATTTCATTCTTTTTTATGGCTGAGTAAGAGTCCACTGTATATATGTACCACATTTTCTTTATCCATTCATCTGTTGATGGATGTTTAGGTTGCTTCCATGTCTTGGCTACTGTAAATAGTGCTACAATGAACACTGGGGTGCATATATCTTTTCTAAGTATGGTTTTCTCCGGATATATGCTCAGGAGTGGGATTGCAGGATCATATGGTAGCTCTATTTTTAGTTTTTTGAGGAACCTCCACAGTGTTCTCCATAGTGGCTGTACCAATTTACATTCCCACCAATAGTGTAGGAGGGTTCCCTTTTCTCCACACCCTCTCCAGCATTTATTGTTTGTAGACTTTTTGATGATGGCCATTCTGACTGATGTGAGGTGTAGTTTTGATTTGCATTTCTCTAATAATTAGCAATGTTTAGCACCTTTTCATATGCCTCTTGGCCATCTGTATGTCTTCTTTGGAGAAATATCTATTTAGATTTGTCCATTTTTTGATTGGTTGTTTGTTTGTTTTGATACTGAGCTGCATGAGCTGTTTCTATATTTTGGAGATTAATCCCTTGCTGGTCACATCATTTGCAAATATTTTCTCCCTTTCTGGGGGTTGTCTTTTCGTTTTGTTTATGGTTTCCTTTGCTGTGCAAAAGCTTTTAAGTTTAACTAGGTCCCATTTGTTTCTTTTTGTTTTTATTTTCATTACTCTAGGAGGTGGATGCAAAAAGATTTTGCTGCAATTTATGTCAAAGAGTGTTCTGCTTATGTTTTCCTTAAAGAGTTTTATAGTATCCCATCTTACATCTAGGTCTTTAATCCATTTTGAGTTTATTTTCATGCATGGTGTTAGAGAATGTTCTAATTTCATTATTTTACATGTAGCTGTCCAGTTTTCCCAGCACCTCTTATTGAAGAGACTGTGTTTTCTATCCTGTTCCATTGATCTATTTTTCTGTCTTTGTGTCAGTACCATACTGTCTTGATTACTGTAGCTTTGTAGTATAGTCTGAAGTCAGGGAACCTGATTCCTCCACCTCTACTTTTCTTTCTCAAGGTTGCTTTGGCTATTCAGGGTCTTTGGGGTTTCTGTACAAATTTTAAGATTTTTTGTTCTAAATCTGCAAAAATGCCAATGGTAATTTGATAGGAATTGCACCGAATCAGTAGGTTGCCTTGGGTAGTGCAGTCATTTTGACAACATTGATTCTTCCAATCCAAGAACGTGGCATATATACCTTTCCATCTGTTTGTGTTTTACCTCCTTAGGTAGGTTTATTCCTAGGTATTTTATTCTTTTTGATTTGATGGTAAATGGGATTATTTCCTTAATTTCTCTTTATGATCTTTTGTTTTTAGTGTATACAAATGCAACAGATTTCTGTGTATTAATTTTATATCCTGCAACTTTAGTGAATTCATTGATGAGCTCTAGTAGTTTTCTGGTAGCATCTTTAGGATTTTCTATGTATACTATCATGTCATCTGCAAACAGTGACAGTTTTACTTTTTTTCTAACTTGGATTCCTTTTCTTTATTCTTCTTCTCTGATTTCAGTGGCTAGGACTTCCAAAACTATGTTGAATAAAAGTGTCGAGAGTGGACATCCTTGTCTTGCTCCTGATCTTTGAGGAAATGCTTTCAGCTTTTCATTATTGAGTATGATGTTAGCTGTGGGTTTGTCATATATGGCCTTTACTATGTTGTGGTATATTTTCTCTATGTCCACTTTCTGGAGAGTTTTTTTTTATCATAAACGGTGTTGAATTTTGTCAAAAGCTTTTTCTGCATCAATTAAGATGATCATGTTTCTTGTTTTAATTAATTAATTATTTTTGGCTGCATTGGGTCTTCACTGCTGCACATGGGCTTTTCTCTAGTTATGGCGAGTGGGGGCTACTCTTTGTTGCAGTGCGCAGGCTTCTCATTGCGGTGTCTTCTCTTGTTGCAGAGCACGGGCTCTAGGCGCGTGGGCTTCAGTAGTTGTGGCACATGGGCTCAGTAGTTGTGGCCTGTGGGCTCTACAGCGCAGGCTCAGTAGTTGTGGTGCATGGGCTTAGCTGCTCTGCGGCATGTGGGATCTTCCCGGACCAGGGCTTGAACCCATGTCCCCTGCATTGGCAGGCAGATTCTTAACCACTGCGCCACCAGGGAAGTCCGATCATATGGTTTTTATTCTTCAATTTGTTGATGTGGTTATCACACTGATAGATCTGCAGATATTGAAAAATCCTTGCATTCCTGGGATAAATCCCATTTGATCATGGTGTATGATCTTTTTCATGTATTGTTGGATTCAGCTTGCTAGTATTCTGCTGAGGATTTTTTGCACCTATGGTCATCAGTGATATTGGCCTGTCATTTTCTTTTTTTGTGGTATCTTAGTCTGGTTTTAGTATCAGGGTGATGGTGGCCTCACTGAGTGAGTTTGGAAGTGTTCATTCCTCTGCAATTTTTTGCAATGGTTTCAGAAGGATAAGTATTAACTCTTCTCTAAATGTTTGATAGGATTTGCCTGTGAAGGCTTCTGGTCCTGGACTTTTGTTTGTTGGGAATTTTTAAATCACAGTTTCAATTTCAGTGCTTGTGATTGGTCTGTTCATATTTTCTGTTTCTTCCTGGTTCAGTTTTGGGAGATTGTACCTTTCTAAGAATTTGTCCAAATCTTCTAGGCATTTTAGTGGCATATAGTTGCTTGCAGCAGTCTCTTATGATCCTTTGTATTTTTGTGGTGACTGTGGTAACTTCTCCTTTTTCACTTCTGATTTTAATAACTTGAGCCCTCTCCTTTTTCTTGATGAGTCTGGCTAAAGGTATATCAATTTTATCTTTTCAAAGAACCAGCTTTTAGTTTCATTGATCTTTTCTATTGTTTTCTTTGTCTCTATTTCTGTTCTGATTTTTTTTTTCAATTAATTTTATTTATTTTTGGCTGTGTTGGGTCTTTGTTGCTGTGCGTGGGCTTTCTCTAGTTGTGGTGAGCAGGGGCTACTGTTTGTTGCGGTGCACGGGCTTCTCATCGTGGTGGCTTCTCTTGTTGCAGAACATGGGCTCTAGGCGCGCGGGCTTCATAGTTGTGGCATGCGGGCTCAGTAGTTGTGGCTCGCGGGCTCTAGAGCACAGGCTCAGTAGTTGTGGTGCACAGTCTTAGTTGCTCTGTGGCATGTGGGATCTTCCCGGGTCAGGGATCGAACCTGTGTCCCCAGCATTGGCAGGTGGATTCCTACCAATTTTTACAGTTTTACAAATTTTTACAGTTTTTTTCTTGCTGCTGACTCCTAATCTCATAGCATTGTGGTTGGAAAAGATGCTTAATATGAGTTCAATTTTCTTAAATGTACCAAGGCTTGCTTTATGGACCAGCATGTGATCTATCCTGGAGAATATTCCATGTGCACTTGAGAAAAATGTATATTCTGCTGCTTTCAGATGGAATGCATAAATATCAATGAAGTCCATCTGGTCTAATGTGTCATTTAAAGCCTGGATTTCCTTACTGATTTTCTGCCTGGATGATCTGTCCATTGATGAAAGTGGGGTGTTAAAGTCCCCCACTATTATTGTGTTACTGTCAATTTCTCCTTTTATGGCTGTTAGTGTTTGCCTTATATATTGAGGTGCTCCTATTTTTGGTGTATGTATATTTACAATTGTTATATCTTCTTCTTGGATTGATCTCTTGATCATTACGTAGTGTCCTTGTCTCTTGTAATAGTCTTTATTTCAAAGTCTGTTTTGTCTGATATTAGTATTGCTACTCCAGCTTTCTTTTGATTTCCATTTGTATGGAATACCTTTTTCCATCCCCTCACTTTCATTCTGTATGTGTCCCTAGATCTGAAGTGGGTGTCCTATAGAGAGCATATATACAGGTCTCGTTTCTGTATCCATTCAGCTAGTCAATGTGTTTTGGTTGGAGCATTAATCCATTTATATTTAAGGTAATTACTGATATATATGTTCTTATTGCCATTTTGTTAATTGTTTTGGATTTGTTTTTGTAGGTCTTTTTATTCCCTTCCACTTTTGTTCTCTTCTCTTGTGATCTGATGACTATCTTTAATGTTGTGTTTGGATTCCTTTTTCTTTTTTGTGTGTATATCTGTTGTAGATTTTTGGTTTGAGGTTACCATGAAGTTTTGATATAGCAGTCTATACATATACAAGATTGTTTTAAGTTCACGATCTCTTAATTTCAAATGCATTTCCAATATCCTGCATTTGTACTCTTCTTGTGATTGCTGGTTTTGATATCATATTTGTGTGTGGATGATTTCCTATCTTTACTGTATGTTTGCCTTTAGTGGTAAGCTTTCCCATTCATAATTTTCTTGTTTCTCGTTGTGGGCTTTTCTTTTTCGCCTAGAGAATTTCCTTTAGTATTTGTACAGCTGGTTTGGTGGTGCTGAATTCTCTTACCTTTTGCTTGTCTGTAAAGCTTTTGAGTTCTCCGTCAAATGTG